GGACATGGAGGTGGCGGCGGTGGCTTTGGAGGAGGTGGTGGATACGGAGGAGGACACGGTGGTGGTTTTGGAGGCGGCCATGGCGGTGGATTTGGAGGTGGCCACGGCGGTGGATTTGGAGGAGGTGGATATGGCGGCGGTGGTGGCTTTGGAGGCGGACATGATATCGGTGGAGATGATCATGGCTCCAGCGGTTATGGCAATAGTATATCATCTGATTTTGGTAGCAGGTAAATGTCGAATTTCGCTAAACCAAAATTAATTTACATAGAAATAAACATTAATCAATAAAAAAATAATAAATCTTAATTATTGTACTAAAATGATCTTATATACGTATAATATTTCATATTGATATTTTTTCAGTGGCCACGGCGGAAGCAGTTACAGTTCTGGTGGCGGCTTCGATTCCTATTCAAGCGGTCACGGCGGAGGTGGTGGCGGTGGCGGTGGCGGTGGCGGTGGTTACAGTGGAGGTCACAGTGGTGGTTTCTCCGGTTATCACAAAAAGAAATAAGAAATGATTCTACCGTAACTAATATGTTTGGCATTACAGAGATTTACTGCTGTACTAACATATTTTCAACTGATATTTGATCGATTGATACAAGAGCAAGTTTGAATCTTCAGTAGAAATCGTTACGCTGCCACTTTAATTGTGTGATATACGATAATATACAAAGAAATCGTAATACTGCCACTTTAATTGTGTGATATACGATGATATACAAAGAAGAATTTAATATTTTTTACTCTTTTTGTACGAACTTACAAGGCTGTAATTTTGCCGGTTTTTTCATTTTTATTAGTAATTTTCGATGCCAACAGAAATACGTTGAACAAAACTATTATTTTACTGACTTTACAACTGATTATTACGACAGACACATAACGAAATGACATATACATAATTAGAATTTATATTTCTACAAAGTCATAGGAAAGACGGATAGATTAGATTCATCAAAAATAGTTTCTTTAAACAATTGGCCAGTAAAAAATTAATCTAACGTATTTTAAAATAAATTATCTTACACTCTTTGTAGACCATTATATCAAATAGATCCGATTTAACTATATTTGTGACGCTGTAAAAATTAGACTAGACTATCTTTTCAATTGTTATATATATAGAATTATTATTACAGTAAAATATCGATTCAAATACACGCTCACTTGACTCGACTCGAATTTTTACGACAAATTTATGATACAACGCGAAAAACTTTATCATAAAAATAAATATTTTTTGGAAATGTGTTTGAGTATTATTTGAATACTCAAATTTATGTACGACAAATCACAGGTTTTTAAAAATACATATTGCTGAAGACACATATTACTTCAGAAATAGATATAGTAGAAAATGGAAATATTTACAATTATAAATTATATGCAAGTAAGCGTTAATGACATTTAAACTGGTTTGTGATAAAAGCTATTGAGCGCATTTAATTATAAAAATCGTAATAATTCGTAATTACGATTATGTTACATATTATTTTTTATTATTTTTATATTTTATTATTTTTTATTATTTTTATATTTTTATACCTCATTTTTAAATCTGGCACGCACCTCAGTTTAAATCTTTACGTGCCTTGCTCACCAAGCACTTTAGAAATTACCATACACGATTTTTGCGATCAAAATAATATACCTATATATATAATGTTTGTACATATAATATATTTTGTAAATAGAGCATTGTATTATGATGTTGTTCCAATAAAGTTTTTGTATGTTTTTAATATATAATACTATTTCTTCTTTATGTTAAAATTATATAATCAATTAAAAGTGGATGTTCTTATCACAAAAGAGGGCTAACAACACTCTGGGCCATCAAGTACACAGGAACAACACACACTGATACCTACATGTCAAATCACCATCCAGCATAAAAATAGGCAGCAATTCATTCACTTGTGTATAGAGCATTAAGTATCTCTGGTAAAGAATACCTGGCAGACAGAATTCAACCACATCTTGGAATAAGATCTGCAAGGGAACGGATATAATAAGGAGGACATAAACAGTACAATCAGTAAACACAGGATCAGAACAAGGAACTCGTACACACAACAGGATTAGTTAAACAAGAGAAGTCTGTCTATCCTTCCATATACATTATTTTAGATGGAAATAAAATATCATTGTGGCATGTCTGAAGGTACCAGTTACAAAAGTTCAATCTGTTCCAATGATCTTGAGGTAATAAATTTTGCACTTTTTGAATGTGGCAGGGATAGCGATTATCTCCTTTTACAGTTCGCCAAATTGTTTGTGGTGACACTCCCAATACAGCCGACGCATTCCGAACGCTGGTCTCAGGATGATTGTCAAAATGTTGTAAAATACGATTCCCTGCCTGCAAATCTCTTCGTAACGCTGCTTGAAATCGGTTGTTTTCTTGTCGAATTGAAAATGATCCAGTCTCTCGCAATCTATTAAATGTCAACATAAACACTCTTCGGTTTGGCACTCTTCTGTTTGGAAATCGTCGTGCATATTCTCGCACCGCCTTTAAAGCATTACCGTTGCAGAAACCGTATACAAAAACCATATCAGCATATTCACTATTAGAATACGTACGCGGCATATTGCAAAAGACAAAATTCATCTACTGTTAAAGGCTTTCAAAGAGCGACTGACAAATTCATAACAGAAAGTGGAAAATGTAATCAAATATGTCGGTGCTAGATATGGCAAGAAATGTAAACATTTTTTTTCGATTTCTCTGAAACGGAGCAAAAACGAGCATATGTCTATAGGACTTTTTTTCTTAGTTTTTTACTCCTCTACACGCTCCCGAAGTTTTGCCATTTAATTTGGAAACACCCTGTATAAAAGGAACAACATCGGATTGGTAGGATTTTGAACAAACACAACATCCGTTCATTGCATATTGGGTTATTATCGTTGAATAATTGTATTAATAACGTATTCATTTTCCATAAATAATTTTTAAATAAGGTTTTATAGGGTTTTCGAGGTTTTTTTTTTAATGATATACTTAGCTAATTGTATTCAACTTATACTTATTTTTGAATAATTTACTTTTAAATAAATGTAAATTTTTTAAAATTTTATATTAGCAAAGTGTAAGATTCCGCCTGCATTTTTTGTCTTATTATCCACTAATTTCTGATATTTACATTAATGCTTGTCCATGTATTATAGTAATACTATTATGGTCATTTATCACGATAAATGACATAGAAAGTCTTGCAGGAAGTAACTTACGATGGTCTATGATTGTCAGTACACAAACATAAATTTGTAGCCTCTTATTTTCGCTTAATATCTCAATGTAATGCAGTACTAAAATATCAGACAACATCAATTACATGACATTTTGTATGTGATAAATTTATTGAATATGTATTTACACAAACTGGCAAAAATTTAGCAATAAAAACGAATATATTGATATTTGCATATTTAAATTTTGCATTTTTTAAGTCATTTTTTTAAATAGAAAAACATTGAAAAAAATACACGTATTTTTTAATGAAAAAATGCAAATTTAATTTTTTTTCTACTTAAATCTCCAGCATCATCAACACATCTAACAAAGAATTGGAAATTTTTTAGATAATATTGAAATTCAGAATAAGGGAAATCGGTCTAGATGATGTAGACTACTGTAGCTTGTAGACAATACAGAATAAAATTTCAAATTTTTCTATAATGAATTTCAAGAGTTCAGAGAATGATAAAAGTATGATTAAAGTATATTAAAAATAATATAACTATAACATATTTTTTAAATTGCATACTACGTGTTTATATCTAAATAAAAAAATAAATAATACTTATGCCAAGTTTAATTTAAATATTTATGCTAATTATTAATTAAATATATTTCTGGAAAAAAAAAAACAAAATTTTATGAAATTATTTGATTTTTTTTCCTATTTACATCTCTATTCCTACATACATTGTTCATTAGATATATCTGTTATATTATACGATTTGCTTTCTGTAAAAAAAGATGAATACTCCTATTCAGGGATATGTACATCAAACATGATTTTCACTTCTTAATGAGTATCAATTTTACATGGTGCTTTAATCATCGATATCTGTTAAGTGGCATTAAAATAAAATCGCATTTATTGCGTATCGTAAAGTACGTTAACGCTGGATTAGTTTAAAATCGAAAGTAAGCAGAAAGTGAAAGAACCAATCATATAATGAACGAGGTGCGATTTCACTTGCATGTATGTAAAATATAGATATTTACACATGTGCCTTGGAACACTAAAACGAATATAATAACTTGCATTTTCATTAATCCACAAAGAATAAAGATATGATCATAAATTGAAAAATTCTCTTTATTATAGAATATATATATATATATATATATGTATATATTCCATAATAAAGATAATTTTTCAATTTGATCGTATTTTTATTATAATATATATATATATATAAAAGGCGATTATAAAATAAAAACTACGAGGAAAGACTCATAAAGAGAAAATGGTATAAAATTTGTTACATTTGCTATCGTTATATTTTTAAATTATTGAAAGGAAAAAAGAACATCATTCTCGGACTCTCTTATATATAGGTAATATTTAAAAATAAATTAAATAAATAAAAGAAGAAAATTGTCTTTTAAGAAGTTATGTACTTAGAAAAATTACTTTAATCGTAAAAATCGAGAGTATAAAATCATAATAGATTATGTAAATTATATAAAAGTTCATAATATAATATCTTTAATTAATTAATACCTGTGAAATTCTATACACATAACATGTAAGTGTGGACTAGAGATTATTATTCAACCGTAATGACCGTCCTTACGTAATAAGTGTAATAAGCGATATAATTTCCAATAAGAATAAGAAGTCGAATAAGAAATAAAGTGGGTATAAAGAAAATCGGAATTCTTAGCAGTCGCTTTTTTGAGGAGTCATGCAATTTGTGCAACTTGAATTGCAGTAAATCGATTTCACTTGAAGGTAAAGAAAGGAAGTTATTTCATCAGAACAATTTTCTCTTTATGAGTATGTTATTTCTTTCATCTCTATTTTAATTTTGCCTACTTCCCGATGATGTTGCTGTGATATTCGACGAAGAGGCAACTCATTTACTTTCATTATATTTGGAGAATAATGCGCTGATTTTCTTTCGAAGGAGAAATCATATTGGCGAGTTTCCGGGTGTGTTTCTTTTTTAAGTGCATTTTGATACTTTCAAACTAGATAACTTGCAAAGGTGACTACGCTCTACGGAAAGGCATGTAGTCTACACACGAATCAAAGCGTGAACGTCGAAATTTGAGTCAGAGAACTTACGAAAATTATGTTTACGACAATGCGTGTGCGAAACTACAAGTGAAAATTTGCGTAAAACCACTCAGGTGAGAGTGATTCAAGTAAAATAAAGTGGTAATCATACAGGAACTGTTTTCAAGAAAACAAGTCCACCGTTGTTGTTTAGTTTTCATTGCATGGTTCACTGAGTATGTTTCTATTTATAAGGCTGGCTGCGAAAGAGACTTTTAGTTACCACTAAACTCCAATCTCAGAAGAGTTAAGCGCACATTTAGCGCATATATAGAGTGAACATGTTCAAATTCGAAATACACGTGGGTGTCGGATTTGAGTGTGAATTCGTTATGTTATGTGATGTCGGTTTATTTAATTGAGCGAGACAAGATAACTCACAGATATGCGCGCTCGTATGCTTAATGAAGTGACGATTTTATTTTTAGTTCTCCTTTCAATAATATGCAAATAATGCTAATCGACAATAGTTACTTTGCTGAAAAAAAAAACAGATCAAATCCATTTTAGACAATCTACAACTTGTAGCAAGTTTTATGTATAATACGAAAATATTTTATTAATTTTACAAAATCTTAAAAATTAAGAATTTTGTTATATGCATATTTATTTCATTTGAAATTAATTTTATTTCAGTATAATGTGAATGATAAAACAGAGGAAATACATTTTCTCTGAGAGAGACATATTTTTCTAATAAAAATTGTATTAAATAAGAATAATATGTGCACTTTTTTATGATTAATAATCTTATACGCAAAACACACAGTAGGTTTTATTTTAAATTTCTTTCTTTATTTATTTATTTTTATTTTATGCTAAAGTATTATTTTGTAATAGGTCAATAAAATATGAGTAAATTGATTTTTATCACCGCATTGGTTTTTAACAATAAGCTTATTAATTACTTTAAAGTCAATCTTTTTAAGTAATATTTATTTTAAATTAAGTGAGATAAAAAGGAAAGAAAAAAACCGGCAATTAAGAAATACAATAAAAATAAATATATATATATATAATATATAAGAAATATATTATCAATAATTAACTAATTATTTCCTAATTAACTTAAATATTAAATATTTGTATAAGTATTTGTAAAAGAGAGATAATGTAACAAAAAACGAAAAGAAGATTGATGTAATATATAAATTTACGTTCGTATATGTGCGTCTGTATAGAAATTATCTCAAACATTCTCGATAACATCTCTCTTCTCATTATCAGAATAATTTTACCTAATAATTATAATTTTACGACAAATCCTTTTAATTATTATTACTTCCATTTTATTCTTCGATTTTCTTATAAAATCACAATGTATATGATTAACTTTCTTCAATGAAAGATAAGATCTATCTTTAATCTGATTATGGATTAAACCATAGGCGTATGCATATTGGTTTGTAAAAAAACAGACAATGTTTTTAAATTTTTCAAAATAAAATTTTTTAAATTTTTATTGTATTTCTTATATAACATCTTTCTGCTTTAGGCTCTACTTTTGCTGGTTGTCGCAACGACTTTAGTATCGACGATGCCGTATCCTGGCGGTCATCACGAACAGTAATTTTCTAGTTTTCGAACTACTGCTCCATATATTCCTTTTAAATGATATACAGTTTTATATGATACATTAAGATTATTTAGAGAAACTTGAAATTGCTTTTAGCACGCACTTCATCATCCACGTGCCGCATCATATTCACGAACATCATCATACACACGTGAAGAAAATTTACATACCGGTTCACAAATCAGACGATCATGGGATTAAACACGAAGAAGTTGACTGGTAAATTATCTTCGCGACATTCTTATGGTTAAGGAACCTTGTTATGACAGAGTTATTTAATCATAATCGTCTGATGATATCTGAACGATTTATTATCATTTTATACTGTTAATTGTATAAAATAAACCATATTTATAAACTAATGACTTGCTTGATTGCTTCTTTATTCCATCGATTTTGTTCCTTATTTTGCCATCAATTTGCTGACAGTTTTGTTACAACAAAATTTGTATCAAATTTGGCGTCTTTTTGTTACCAAAATTTGTAGCAAATAGTATTTGAAAAATTTCAATAGACTTGGCTAGATAGCCAAATGGATAATTTCTCTCCTTGTGGTTTCTACGAATTATTTATAGTTTTTAGAATTGTAATTATTTAATAGAAATAAAGGAAATGAATAAATGTATCTTCAAAATATTTCTTTTTTTATCAAAATTTTATTATATAAAAATAATAATAAAAAAGTGTAACGTGAAGTAAAGTATATACAAGTATTTCGCTTCTGAGTACACACGCGTGCATACAGAGTATTTGGTTCTTACGCTAAATCCTTAATGCTGTACTGGTGGCGCGAGTAATTTTGTACTGATCAGTTTCGTCCTCTTTTGTATTCTACAAGAAAACTTCTTATCAATGGATCCACAATGGGGAATGAATTTTATTAGCTTTTACTTACTCGGATTCCACCTTGTACGGTAACCTGAAAACCCAGTTCACAAATCGTTGAGTATACGTATAAATCAATTAGCAAGTTAGAGTAATTATACTTTCACAATGAAAATAAAATATCAAATAGTATTGATAACTTATAGATATACATTTTCACAATATACAGATTGTCCTTCACCTTGTACAGTGTACTATTATTATAGTTAATGAAAAAAGAGTGTATCCTACATGAAGTATACTTATATACAATTCTTTCCTTCTTTCTTAGGAATTATTAAAAAATATTAAAAAAAATTTTTTAAGATCACTGTAAAAATTTTAATGTGTATTAAAAATGTGTCTTTTTTAATTCAATATAATTTTAGTGTATTAATCAGATCTTTGTTAAAATTACAAGTAAACAGTACAAACCTAACATAATTGGAATTGAAGACAATGGGTTCCATTTAAAGCCAGCCATGATGTAACTTCTCCTCATGTATGGGTACAGGGACGGGAACCTTATGTACAACTGGGAAAGGTACGGCTACTTTTTCGACATGGTGAACAGGTACTGGAACTGGTACTTTTTCGACGTGATGCACTGGATACGGAACGGGAACGGACACTTTCTCGACGTGATGTACGGGCACGTGGATCTTTTTCGTGTGATGATGATGGACCGTGTGCACATGGTAAGGCACGTGGATCACATGATGTTCACTGAAATCATCAATAGTTTTTCATATGATATCGTATTTACAAGTAAAAAATTTATAAGTAAAATTTTGACCGATAAGAATAAATCAAATAAGAAAAAGAATACTATAATTAATTATTCTTTTTATTTATTTATAATTGTAATTATTTATTATTACGCAATGAGTAATCAAAGTTATTAATAATTATACTATGTAATAACTATTTATTTATCTATCACATTATAAATAATTAAAATGATAAGTAATTCTAAGAGAGGTATGATGTTCTATAGAATTGAAACTTTTTTAGCTCGATTAAAATATAAGTAATTGTCGAAGCGTTACTTACTGATGATGACCCCCCGGCACCGGCGATGCCAAAGCCACAGCCATTATTCCGAACACGAGCAACTGCAACACGAGAGGGTGATCGCGGTTTGTTCGTAATATCGAAAGTGTATCGCGTACAGAAGTCATTTAAATGCACGGCTCTTTTTTTAAATTCCCGTTTCACCACTCTTGCCGTCTCTTTCCTGCGTAACGAAGAGCGTAACGGAGATGCAAGAGCACCGGGCTTCTATAAATTTTAGCAGCAACGATTATATAGGCACAAAAAATGTTTTTATTTAAAGAGTAGACATTGATATTTTTATATATTTTGACACTCTAAAATCGAATTTAATGTTTAAATTACTCCATCACATCACAATTTTTTTATCAACAGAAAATAATTCGATTTTTCAATATTTTTAACCTACCAGCTTGCATATTAATTTTATAAGCTGGCATATCATTGTTGAATTTATTTTTTCTCTTTTATCTCAATTTACATATTAAAATCAATCCATAAATGGCTCTAAAAATATTGGAAAATCGAGCTATTTTTCGTCGATAAAAAAATTGTAACGTGGTGGAACAAATTGAACATCAGATTCGGTTTTAGAGCGTCAAAATATAGGATGTCCTACGGGAAGGTGTTGAAACTAATCAGCTGTCATTTTCGAAAGTATTCAGTTATTGAAAAAACAAAAATTGCGCTGAAAAGAAAGTATGCAATTTTTAATGAATATAAATAAAATTTAATAAAATGTTTATGTATTAATTTTATTGATGAAAAATATGCTAAAATCAAGTAAACGCTGAGATTAATATCAAAGACCATAGATAAGATCAAAAAACAGTTTCAGATTTAGTAGCAGCTATTTAAAAAGTTATTAGCAATATTAAAAACGATATATTAGAAAAAGTTTTTACGAGTTTTCTTAACAAAAATTGTGTTTTGTACAAATTCAGATGGTGCGCACTCCGAAAAAATTACTCCTTGGGATTATGAGCATATTTTTCATCAATAAAATTAATTGATACACAAATATTTTGTTAAATTTTATTTATACTCATTAAAAATTGTAGACTTTCCTCTTTTCAGCGCAATTTTTGTTTTTTTCAATAACTGAATACTTTCGAAAATGACAGCTGATTAGTTTCAACACCTTCTCGTGGGATACCCTGTACATAAAAATGGTCTTACCTCTAGTTCAAACATTAAATTTTTGTTTTACGTGCCTGTGTTATCATTTATTTAGCCAAGATCTCTCCAGTTACTAAAAAAAACCAATCTTTTTTCTTTTTTTTTTTTCGTAATGTAAGAATTTTAATGTTACAACAGAAGTTCGCAATTTTTGATCTTGAACGTGATCATCGATATACTATTAATTAAATGCATTGCCCCCAAAAATGCATTCAATGATCATGTGATTGGATATTTATTTAGTCTAATTAAATACTGGAAAAAAACAATCAGCTCTGCAAACAGTCAATGGATTTTATCGCCGTATTTCTGTATAGTAAGATAAAAGATGTGCATTAAAAAATTTGACTTATCTGTCGTATCCTGCTTTGGGCACACGCGCTGTAAGCTTCTATCTTTATCGTTCATTATATTCCGGAAGGAAGATAGAATGAAGCGAAAGTAACGCAGGATTAATTAAAATTTCGCCTGAATAGGAAGAGTACAACTTAATTATACAAAAATTACGATTTGAATATCAAGAAATTTCAAATTTTTGGGGACTCTCATACTCAAGAGAAATTTTGCAATCACAGAGCACATTTTACAAAAAATTGACGCGGTATACACTTAGTTGTTACTGTTAAATCACTGACGACCACAAAACCAAACGACGAACCGAAAGGAGTACGATGAAAATAGTACGTAGGTGTATAATAGCAAATCACTCACAGTGATGGTGTAGGAGCGCATCTTCGACTCTTGTTTTAATCGATTGATCGTTATTTATTGAAAATTCGCGGCAACGGCTGTGCGTGCTGCACTGTTTGCAAACTGTGCCGATACGATTCTGTATTTTGATCGTTGGGGATGTCCGCTTATAAAGGACGGACACGACGATGATCAAAACTACCCAGTGAAATTGTACGGGGTGGGAGAGCAAAGTGGCTCGGGATCCAGGGGGTTACGTAAAAGCAAGGAAACGTACGGCCTGCGTTACGTTCGTTTCGGAGCTGCGTAACTCTCCGTTGTGCGTACGATATGTGTAAGCTGCACCTCGGAGTGGTGCGGGAAATACGACAATGCAATCGAGCGTGCATGCGTGTGCCCGAGTGTACTATGCAGTCGGATTTTGTGCGATACGTGTACAATCGTACGTAACTCGAGCAATTTCTTTTTTCTCGTTCGCGGATCGTTCAGGCTTGTTGGTGTTTGTCAAAATAATTTCTAAAAAGTGTGAATTCGCGACGGTTGTGACTTGTCACATTGTAATAATATTATTAAAATTATTTACCGGATTATTTTGATAAATATATTCCTAAATGATGTCCAGTTCAATACGTGTGAAAACTTAGTTTTTGATTGTATAACATTAGTGAATCGACTCATCAAGTGAAAGTATTAATAATTTGTTTATTTTAATTTAATAACATGCATTGTAATTAACATTTTATGGAATGTTATATAATATTATTGTTATTTTGTTATTTAATTCTTATTGTTTTTCATCATTATGCATTATAGTTTCATATTTAAATTAATTATTATGATATAATAAAGATGGTATACATAATGTATATAAAAGAAATGCTTCTGCGAGAGTGAATAAAAAAAGTGAGAGTGCGTACAAGAACCCGAAAACATAAATTTCTCGTTAGTTTATAAATTAATTAATTACTTATGTCCTGTTATGTTGTCAGGAAGTTGGCGTTACGTCGCGAAGCGAAACAATTTGTTCTCCGTGAAGAATATTTCCATTGGATGTGTTTTTTCTCTTTTTCTTTGACCAACGCACAATAGACAGAGATGGATTCATTGTAAAGATACATTTCTTCTTGATTACCCTACAAAAATATTACGCTATATTCACCGCGTATATACACGAACGCAGAAAGTCCTCGCTTTTGCATTAATAAATTGTACTGATTTCACTCGTATGCATTGCGTCGCTGAAGTAGTTTCTGGTTTTGGAGAGAAACTTGAGTCTGATTGATTCCATAAAAGGTTAAAGTTCTACGAAATGTAAATTCATTATTTAAATATGACACGATATCGCAAGCGTATACATAATCGTCCTAGTCATGACTGATATAGCGATTTCCCAAATATCGCGTGTGGAATTTGAAGGAAGTTAGTTTGCATCGTAATTTATTGCCTCTAATCGTAAATACAATATTAGATTAGCGAAAGTTCACAAACGGACACGAACATGTGCGAACATGATGATAAATATATCACTATTGATGTAACGCATATACATGAATGGTACCTTGCACACATAATTGCATACTGTACCGGATTTCCCCAATAATAATTTCCTTCCGTAATATTTATATACACTGAGAACAAAAATTGGTTGCAATTACTATAATTTAACTATATACGATATATATTATAATTTATTCTTATTGTTTATTATAATTTAACTACGATATAGTATATATCATTCTAGCAATATTGCTGCAACATATTCTGTGCTGTAAACATATAAGATTTATAGTAATTTTTAGTACCAACTATGTATATTTTTTGGTAGAATTATAAATATAATTATTATTACTAACATTATAGCAGTAATAATTATAAAACTGGAAGCTTCTAATCATAATTATTTTACTTTGCAATTATATGAATAATTGGGCGAGTTCAAGACAGCAAAACGGCTAGGCATGCTTACCGAGCGATTGAATATGATTGGTTGGATCTATAAGTAATAACCAATTATGTTCATTTGCTTGGCGAGCAGGTTAGCCGCTTTGTCAACTTGAACGCGCCTATTATAAATACTAAACGTACATATATAGTTTTTTCGTTGCATTTATTGAATTCTTAAAATTTACTTTAATAAATGCATTAATTTATAACACTTTGCGTGTATAACACTTCAATACATTAATTTTCAATTTGTGTTAATTAATATATTATTAAAGTAAATTCTGAAGCTTATACAACGAAAGAGATATTGATTTTAATTGCAATTGAATAGAAGATACAATTTCGAAATTACAGATTGTAATTATATCTCGAACGGCAATAAACGTGTTTTACTTTGTTATCTTAAATTTTTTTGAGACGCATGTACCTTATTGATACATGCGTACATCAGCTGCATATAAGATTACTAGATTCTTGCCAATTCTCCTGCATTCAGACCGATTACGAGGCTTTCCAAACAAACCATTCAGTGTTAAGACCAAGGTAACGATCAAGATCGTGTTGTACATATTACACGCTCCGCTGAAATTATGCTCTTTTCTTTTTTTTCGATAGCATATCGGCAGACCCAATCGGTGTAACAGGAAGTGGTGCAAGCTGCATACATAAAATATTCATCATACAAGGAGAAAGCGTTTCGTAACCTCTTACACACTCGCCTTTGCGTATCTCAATACGGAGCAGGTAGCCGCGCGGTCGAAAAAAAGTCGAATAGGAAAAAAAAATAAACGTAAATATAAAAATGTGATCGAGCGATTATTCGTACCGATAAATTCATCAATATGCAGGATGTCCCAGACTTACCGCATCAAAATTAATAAGCATTTAAAGTTAGCGAATTATATCACTTAAGTTCCTCGTTTAGATTTTGCAATGCGACAAAATGTCAACCACATCTAAATGCACCAACTTTAGGCGATATCATTCACTAACTTTAAATGCTTATAATTCAAAAACTATTATAGTCTCAATATTTTGTGGTAGAATTTTTGCCTCAAAATGACTTTAGAAATTTGCTATTAGCAGGTGGTGCGATAGGTGTGGTATATCTCTCAATTGCATAAGAAGTAACGCCTGGCGATTTTTACCTCGCTACGTGCGCGCTTTAATGCGAGTACTTTTTGCGTCTTGACCGGCAATACGCTTCGAAGAACATGACACAATACATAATTTAATAAAGACTTTTTATGATATAATACTTGAAAATATTGACTAATACCGTTATGATGCAAAACAATTAATTAGTCCATTAAATTTTGATTTTAAGAGATTATTTTTTTCAAAACGTTCTAATAAATTAATATTTATATTTTTTCATAAGAGTATCCTATATTATTACACATTTTAATAATGTATGTATTTTGGAGTCAAAAATTTTAATACAAAAGTCGCATGATTACGATAGTAAAAAATAGTTCTTGGATACCAAATCAGTATTAATTAACATTGCAACAAACAATTGGCCAAGAGCAAACTTTTTGCCTCTGTGATTAGTATATTTATTATTAAATTTAAGATAACTTATTGTTTTTAAACAAAAGAAATTTTGATTCACGCTTGTCTTCGTGCATATGTAGAATGAATTTGTATACATATATACATCAATTTCTCCAAACTGCGTGCGAATTTTCTATCTTAAAACGCAATGCGGGGGTGCGTTCCGAATTACGCAAGAAACGGATGAAGCATCATTGGCTGCGTTCAGCAGACTCAACAGTTTTGCAACCGTTTTGTGATTCGTCGCGCTGATTGGACTATACTTTTAGATTTAAAGGAATAGTTCTATCTCAGCGCAGAATCATAAAACGGTTGCAAAACTGTTGAGTCTGCTGAACGCAACCATTTTATCCTTCGTGCGCTTCGTGCGTATTTCAGAACGCACCCCGGGAGTACCGTCGAAAGTGCCGCGCAATCGTCGTACTTCGATAAAGTTAGTGCGTACGTGATCACGGTTGACATCAGTTAACATGTGTATTTGTATGCATTCGCGGTAATTTCTCGCTCGATATTAGTTGAAAAAGAGTACAGTCAACTTCAACGTAATCAGGGCTGGGTATTTTTGCATTTAAAATGCCATTTAAAATGTAATGCCATTTAAAATGTAATTCTATTTAAAATGCTAAATGTAAAATACTTAAAAAAATGTATGTAGGAAAAACCATTCTGTATTTGAAAACTATTTAAAATATCTATTTACCCATTTTATTATACATATAAAGTTGATTCGAAAAACATTTTACATTTTAAATACATTTTTTTAAGTATTTTATATTTGGCATTTTAAATGATTACCCAGCCCTGAACGTAATGCTATTAATGCTTTGAAGCATTCTTTGATTGGTCAGTTAGTAAACTTTTTTTCTAATTGGTAAATTAAATGCTTTGAAACATTTGTAATGACACTTGAGACCGCGCGCGTAAGCCTCCATTACTAGGTTTGAAGCTAATCTGAGTGAACTTCTCTATTGAGGAAGATCAAGAAGAAGAAGCGCATAATCTCGTCGTATGTCAGAAAAATGCAGTAACGATGGAACGAGCGAGAAGAAGATTGAGAGAGCATCGACTAGATAGCAGTGATACAGCTAAAGAGTGAGTGATTTATTTGGGCCTGTTATTTGTCGTTGCACCAAAATTTTGCGTCATCTTGGCTATACTAAAAATTTTGTTTCTCGCTTTCGCCAAATTTTATGTAGGATACGTTCTGTTTTCATACGCTGTAAGCATCGTTACAAATAACGAGTTACTCTTTTCAATAATGAGTGACTTTTCCAATTCTGATGCTACCTTATATAAAAAATTTGCAATGTCATTACCACACACAAATCGTTATTACAACAAAGTAAGGATAAACAGTAACGGCCGGTATTACAAGTAACTTTCTCTCTGTCCCTGTATAGATATCTATTTTATTTTAAATACGAGAGTATACCAACTCAGCCACAAAGATTATTATTATCTATAAAATTGATCGTTCATTTAAATCTATGGGGAAATAGCATAGATTAATCGAGATATTTCAAAAATAGTTAAAAAAAGATCGACTCGAAATATAAGTTGTGAAATGTAACAGCTTAAATTTTTATAAATTTGCAAACTCATTTGACTTTTAGAAGTAGTATAAGCAGGAAAGAGAGAGGAGAAAGCCTCGACACTATAACTTAACTACACCATATCTAAATTCCAGTCTTTTTTGAGTCGCGACAGTTATCGTCTTTGCGCGAAACCGCTATTTGTGAAAGTCAGTGTAGGCGCGGTGATTTTGAAGGAAATGATGGTCAGATAGTCGGAGAAAATGAACAAGCGTGATCGATGAAAGTCAAACGTTGGAACTCGTCCAACGGTGCGGCGTGTTGCAATCGCGAAGGACGCGTAATTATCGATTAATGATTTGCGAGAAGTGATCCGTGGCCACTGCCATTTCTGCTACGATTATATAAGAATACAGTTCCGTTACGGAAGGGAAACGCTATCGCTCGTGCGAAATTGTTGCAAGTATAAGGATTACGTTTGGATATTCTCCCTTTTTTTCTTTACGTAAGCACCTGTAATGTGAAACCGAAGCGATATAACATCGGGTAATTATTTGATTATATATTATTGACTTATACTTTCTTGAACTTACATTATGTGAAATGATAATTATGAATGTTTTATGTATAACGATGAGATAATATGATGCTCGTACAAAAGAAATTATTCGAGAAAATTATTAGCTTTTCCGAATTAGCGAGCCGCTTATTAAATTTAAATGTATTTAGAAATCTCATTTTTAAAACATATTGCTTATATACGTATCAGGCTTATTGAATAATCAAATTACTTTAATCATTTCCGTTTTCATTATGATAATAAATGCTGAAATTTTATTATATGTATAATGTACAAGAATTGGATGTACAGTACTGCATAATAGTAGAGAATAATTAAAACAAGATTATTTTTATGCGTACAATTTATCTGTATATAACAGATTTACTTAATTTTATTCCTTTAAAAATCATCAATTCGGCCGGCATAAAAATCTTATTGCTCTTAAAATGTTTTTTATCTTATTATTTATAGATTATCTAAATTCGTAAATATATTTTTACGCAAATACAATATTATTTTATTTGTAATTCGCATTTACAGCCAACACACATTAAAATACAATATTTGTGTATCTTACAAAAAAGAAATCTAAAGTCTTTCACATTCATACTTGTTCCAATACACACTTGCATTTATATATTAAGGACATTTGTATCTCATAATTGCATGAAAACAAATGCTCAGTGGTACATATGCAAACATTTATACTATCAGCAATCAATTCACATTGAAGATTGCATGATATATTAGATTTTGTTTGAGGTGTCATAAATATAATATGTCCGGTAATTATTTTTTCTTTTTGAGCTTTGGAACAACTTCAAATTGTGGTTTTTGCCACTCCAATGGTTTACGGCGATACATAGGCCATGGAGGAACAGTAATTAATGCTGCCATGACAAATCCAGCGCTTAGAATATAGATTGTCTGCGAGAATTGTTGAATAACATATCCCCAAATAAAGCCGACTACCTGTAAAAAATGTTTAATTAAAAAGGTTGTATCAATCACTCCCAGCATGATATTAAAGTCTGTTATGTATATTTGATACTAATTATATGTGTAATATTAAACATACATGTGTCTTTGGATAGGAGGCATTGGTAAGTCCGGATCTACAATAGGTGTTTTAAGCCTTAAGTCGTAAGAAATTGACCAATTATAGTCGAATTCCAAGGGAATAATCGACTATGATTCGTCCATTTCTTATGGCTTAAGGCTTAAAACTCTATTGTAGATCCAGGGTAAAGAGCATAATCAGTTGCTTTATCGTTAATTCACTTGATAAGCGTAGAAAGCAATGAAAGCAATTTGAAATGGATTGTCTGATGAAAAACATATGGTGATGTTTTTTAATCGACATTCATCATAGGATGAATGTACAATCTTCACCATGTATGGTGAAGATTGTGTGTTACAGGAAACGAAATAAATGTCGATTGGCATGGTGTCTTCAGTGATTAGAAATCATATCACATTGAATGTTGTTCTTCATTAGATGAATTTTTGAAATGAACTTCTATTTCTTCACTTAATGAGTAAACTGGACTGTTTCTATTCAAGGACACATGTCACGTACATTACGCACATGTAACATTGCATATGTAACCAACATCAAATATACATAACAAACTTTTTGATATCATGCTGGAGATAGCTGCTACCGCAGTCACTTTTTCATTTCATCAATCTAATTCTGTATTGCAACTATGATAATGATTTCAAGTATTTTCAACATTTCTAGAGAATGGTAGCTTACCCCAAATAACGTTATTATGACCCGCGACAATTTCTCTGCTCTAGCTTGGCCATCATAATCCTAAAATAAATAGCATAAATAATAAGAGTGCATAAATTTAAAGGACTCGCTTAGCGTAGAAATAACATATTATAGTGTACAAACTTACAAGTAAGTTAAACTTATACAAGTAAGGTAAACATAGAACTAATAAATTTATTTAAAGATTTACAGTGTTACTTACAACATGTAAATTATTTAAGTAAATATGTAAATTATTTCGACAATCGCGGTATCAATCGCGTTGACATACGGTGCCTTGGTAATCCTAACCTCACGAATAAGGAATGCACTCGCCTTGGATATATCACGGATTGATATCCGTTTCAGCGTGGTTATTCAAAGATTTCGTTACTTACCATGTGCGTTGGAATGGATTTGAAGTATTGCATCCACGCGTTCATCTTGAACAAATATACAAACGTGGCTGCAAAGGATACGAACTGACAGGAACGTACGATTATTTCGACTTTCGACTCTTTCGAGACAATCGAGACGTGGACAATAACCGTGATTGTGCATTGTCATCGATGCGCAGACGCGGCGCGAATTTTAAAATGGATTTCAAACGGATTACTAACAAGGAGTATAATGTATACTTTTTTTTACATTACATCCGTCACAGCAGTTAATGTACGCAGAGATGTTAACACGTCGATACGTTGCATATGTAACTACGTCAAAAATTTATCCAATTTCGATTTTTGTAAGTATTTTATTTACCCTCAACACTCTACTTAAGACAGTCTCAAATGTAATAGGCTTTCTACAATAAGTCATAAGAGATTGACCAATCATAAATAATTATTCTTTTCACATTCGACTGTGATTGGCCAATTTCTTACGGCTTAAGACTTAAAACTTAGATTATGTAGAAAGCCCATAAGAATTCACTATGAATACAGATACAATAGTCAATTATTCTTCTCACATTCGATTCAACTATGATTTGCCAATTTTTTACGATTTAAAACTTTACGACCACTACTTTTGTTGTAGACCCCGCATTAACGATCTCATTATCTAGCTTAATTAGATTGTTTCTTTTCCGTAAAGATAACAATATGGTTTTTATTTGAAAAAATATTAGTTTATATTTGGACAATTAACGCCATCATAGCAATTAGCATTCTTTATGTAATCTCTTTAGCTTATAAACTTTTACCTAAATTCTAACTATTTGTTTAATTTTAATTTATCGCTGTAATATATCTATTTTCTAATTTTTTTATTTTCTTAATTTCTGAAACCATGGCTTATTTTTCGTTTAATATCATATAAGCTTCTAATATAAATTATATCTACTGTCATTCTTTTAAAACCTGTTCTACATATATTACTTTGTTCCTCTACAAAAAGCGGGTAATAAATAATTACGAAAAAAATGTTTTATTTTTACGTATTTTACTAGAAAAAATGTGCCACTTTGTTCATCACGCTATGAATTTCCTATTTAATTATTTTCATGATATAAATAAAATTATTTTTAGAACTATTATATATCCATTTAAATTTTTAGATTCAGACTTTAATATAAAATTTGTTATTTCGATCGCTCAATTGAATACTTAACACGATATCGTAATGCCTGCAGATGCGAAGTTTCGCTAAATCATCGCAAATACGGCATTACTGTTCGTAAATGATCGAACGACCATCACAGCATATATGTATAGCACCGAATATTATCACCTTAAATGAGTAAGCTGAATTGCGAAGCGGGTAAATAATCGTGATAAGGTGTGTAAATATTCGCGACGTTAGAAGCGTTTGACCGAACGCTTTTTGATGTCGAGTATAAGTGATTTCGTTTCGCGGGTTTCAAAGTCTGCTGATGTAGTTCTCGTCGTGGGTACAAGTGTTCCATGTCGATGACACTTCACTGTGAGAACGTGCAAAATGCACCGCATCAGCAACAGTAGGGAATATGGCGAAAAAGTGATTCTCGTTATGCTCGACCACATTAAACTTTCTCATTGTTTCATATACAGGACCTGTAATCGACATATCAATTTTTATTATTACAAATTAATTCATCTGTAATCTTTCCTACTAAAGATATTGACATTTTGGTAGATATAGATTTTTATAAGAATAATCTCTCTTTGTTTATTCATGATAATTGAAATACAAGAATTGTAAGATTTATTTTTATATATTTGCAGAATGTATAAACAAATCGATCGTTGAAAACATGAAAATATTATGTAGAGTAAGTAATATTATACATAGTAATTAATTATCATCAACTCTATTTTCTGATTACATAGATGATTACATCTGTATCATAAATTAAACTTACGTGTAGATATCAATTAAGAAAAAAAAGTTATATAGATAAAATTTTATATTGAAGATTAAATATACTTACCGGAACAACCTGCTATATAAACAGATACTTCTATGCTACAATATTCATCAACAATGTTTCGCACTGTATTTGCGCCTGCCAGATCGATATGTGACAATGCAGTAAAGTCCAGTACAAGAATACGTAGCTGTAAAGATCGAATAATGAGACTACAGATGAGATATTAAACAAATGCAATAATCAATTATCAACTACCAACTATCTTGAATTAATATATCGCAGCGGAATATTTCCCTATGTACTTGGTTTCAAAAATATAAATTGCACATTATTTACCTTTTTAATTTCCTCCACTATGGTGCTGTTGTATGTAACTTGTAATTGCTTTTTAAATTCCTTTTGAGGTACTAGCTCTGTAACTTTATACACTTCTTCACGAAAGTATTGTTTAGATGCGAAATTCAAACTACCGGAATAGTGGAAGATTTTGATGCCGGGAATCTCTACAGTCTAAAATATTTATTGAATATTTATTTTCTGATTAGTTAACAGTAATTTTTATTCTTAACTTGCCATTCTAATGATTTACTAAAACGCCAAAAATTCTATATAATTGTAAAATTTATAAAAAAATTTACGTATTTCTAAGAGAATAAATACTTATGATACAGGGTGGCGCACAAAATTTCATTAAAACTATACTTCTGAAATACCCGTTTTTTAACTGTATGAACACAAATTCTTCTTGGGAATTCTGTTAGGTGTGACATTAAGAATTGAAACTGGGTGAAATAGCGACCGACAAACGATTGACCTAAAATGTTGAGCATAAAGAGATAATTGTATTGTTTTTCGTGGAAACAGAGATTGTGGCAGAGACTCGAAGATGTCGTGCAATTATGCCATGCATTATTTGGAGATTTGTGTTGAAAAAAATCAAACATAAGAGCGTATCTCCAAAAGATTATAAGGCAAAATAGCGTCATATTGAATGTTATCCATTGGAATTTTTCAGACTTTAGTAATTAATTCTATACCAGTTTTATACCAATCTCAATTTCGTTAAAAATAAATGTATTATATGTAAAATAAATAGTATGATAATTTGTGTGCTACCTTGCATTTCATAAACTAATGCCTCCGTCTAATTTGACTCATGATGCCACATCTAACAAAATTTCCATGAAATAGATACAGAATTTGCTCACATAATTGAAAAATATTTTACAAGTATAATTTTAATGCGATAATTAAATGGTGTGACATTTTGTGCGCCGCCCTATACATATTATAATAATAGATTAATGAGAAAAAATAGTTTTTTTGTAATTAAAAGTTCTTCTTACTCCTTTGTATCTCTTAGTATCCAAGTAGAGCTCCGTGCCGGGTGCTAGAGCGAGCTTACACGTATAAGGTCGTGTTGCGAGGACAAGTAACCTTCCTATACACAAAAGTATACCGACCAATAATCCATATTCAATATCGAAAAGAATCACGATGACGAAGGTGACAATCCAAATGCTGGCGTCCATCTTGTCCAGTCTCCAGAATTTCATAAATTCACTGACCTTTATCAGCATCCCTTTTAACGCCACCACGATTATACTCGCTAGAACACACTGTGCATCTCACAAGCATCAAAAATGCATTTGATCATCACCTGACGCTTGTATTATAAGATAGAAACGATAAAAAGAATAATTACTCGTGGCAAAGGTTGAAAAAATGGCCCGATCCACAATAACACGCTCACCAAAATTCCACATGATATCAAACTTGCCAGCTGTGTATGTCCACCTACAGTTTGCTGAATCAATGATCTGGATAATGAAGCCGTGATAGGCATGCAGGAAAAAAAAGAACCTACAAGATTTCCCAGTCCCTGTAAAGTTGTATAGAATTGATATATTTTTATAAATATATGTTAAAGGCATACAAAATAATATAAGCGTATTTATTATACAGAGATTAAAAAATATTATATAAACCTGCGCAATCAATTCTTGATTAGAGTCGACTTCATAGCCCTCCTTTTGCGCGAAAATCAATGCCATAGACATTGATATTGTATAAGCAACCATAGTAATCACGAAACTATCTACTAAAACGTTGGGTACAAGTGACAACGGTGGTACAGATGGGACCGGCAGTCTGAAAAATTGAATTGAAAACTTTAATATTACAGTAATTTAAAGTTTCTGCATTATTTTACTTTCACAATTTGTTATAGTTTTATTAAAAATATATGATTTTCTATATATAATGAATTAATAAAAGTTAATTTATTTTAGTTAGTTTAAATTAATTTTAACTCAGTTATATAGAAAAGCTAATACTTTCATAATAAAAATTTTTTGCGACAAGCTGTGTGAGTTAATCGAATATTAATTTTAATTACACATTTACCCTACTGGTATATCGCCAACTGTTATTACGTTATAAGTATCCGCAAGATTCATTTGCATCGATATCAAAGTACCGATTACCACCGCAAACATTTCTATCGGAATTGGAAAGGAGCATAACTTTGAAACTCTTGGCTGAAATCCAGATTATTTCTTCTTAGAAAGCACATATGTAATTAATTTTATAAATTTTTATGTTTTTTTTTCTATGAAATATATAAGATCTGTTCCAGAAATGTCCGATCTCTGCGTGTATATATATATATTATATATATATTTTTGTCCTTGGCATCTTCTCTCTCTTTCTTTCTCTATTATGGAAAAGAGGCATTCAGTATTTAAGAGGGACCTTAAGAATCCTAGAGAGAAAGAGAGAGAGAGAGAGAGAGAAGATATGCCCAAGGATAATGATATACCCAGAGAGGTCGGAGATTTTTGACCTCGTATATTTATTTACAAAGCATAATTACTTAACTTAGCATAACGAACCTTAAGAACTTCGTTGTTAAAAATAAGAGCTAAGATAGTGATGCAAGATAATATCACAGCCGTTATGTTAATGTTGTTTATACTGTTGAAAATATCTACATAAGTCTGAAAAAATAAATAAAGAACTAATATAAAGAACTAATATAATAAAAATACACATTTAATTTTCATTTCGATTATATTATATTGCATATCTTCCAACAATAATAATATAATCAATGTTCGAAAGTATTAAAATTTAAAGATGTAATTTGAAATTCTTTTAATACATATCTTTGTTAATCCGTCTTCGTAAAACCTTTAAAAATAACGTGATATCATAGAGCGCGACGCAAATATTAACCTT